GTGTTTAAGAAAAAGTCTCTGTGTATTTATATGGACAAAACATAAGTTTGTGTGTTTATGTGTATGTGTCTGTATATATGTATGTGTGTATTTTCATGTGTATATGTGCGTGTGTGTGTGTATATATATATATATATGTATATATGTATGTGTGTGTGTGTGTGTGTGTATACACACATACATTTTGTGCGTGGCACACAGTTTGCACGTGACTGCTAACCTAAAGGTTGGCGGTTTGAACCCACCCAGTGACACTATGGAAGAAAGACCTGGTGATGTGCTTCCATAAAGATTATAGCCAAGAAAACCCTATGGAACAGTTCCAGTGTGTAATACATGGGGTTGCCATGAGTTGGAATTGACTCAATGGCAGTGGGTTTGGTCACACACATGCACACGTATGTATATATCCAAAACCCATTGCTGTCAAGTCGATTCTGACTGGTAGCGACCCTATAGGACAGAGTAGAACTGCCCCATAGGGTTTCCAAGGCAGTAAATCTCTATGGAAGATTGTCACATCTTTCTTCCATGGAGTGGCTGGTGGATTTGAACTGCACACCTTTTGGTTTCAGACGAGTGCTTTAACCACTGTGCCACCAGGGCATTTTCTCTCTCTGTTTCTGTCTCTCTCTATACCTACTCATCCATACATAGATACATGCAAACAAATTTCATGTGATATTTCACTATGTCTTACCCATGGATCAGAATGAGAGGGTCAGCCAACATGTGCCTATCAGAATCTGTAGATCTGGGAGGTAAACCATTTGCCAGTTCACACTGCCTGGTGAACTTGGAGGTGAAAGGCCAACTTTTTTCCTTCATATAGTCTAGTTTAGCTCTAACAGTAACCCAGAGTAAAGAATATACCCAATGTCCAAGTCAGGGCAACACCATTTTTTTGGCCATAGTCTACTATTTTCCTTTTGGGTGCTGTTCAGTTTATTAGAGAAACAAGGGCTTTGTGGGATCAGAGGTCACATGGTGGTTCAGTTTCCTCTAAGCTCACAGACGAGGAGGCTGTCATTTGAATGGAACAAGGGGACACTGCATGGTTTAGAGTCAAGAAGGAAGTGCGTCAGGGTTGTGTCCTTTCACCATACTTATTCAGTCTGTATGCTGAGCATATAATCTGACAAGCTGGACTGTATGAAGAAGGACATGGCATCAGGATTGGAGGAAGAATCATTAACAACCTGTGATATGCTGACGACACAACTTTGCTTGCTGAAAGTGAGGATGACTTGAAGCACTTACTGATGAAGATTGAAGATACAGTCTGCAGTATGGATTACATCTCAGTATAAAGAAAACAAAAATTCTCACAACTGGACCTATGAGCAGCATCATGATAAATGGAGAAAAGATAGAGGTTGTCAAAGACTTCATATTGCTTGGTTCTACAATCGACACGAATGGAGTAGCAGTTAGGACATCAGACAATGTATAGCACTGGGCAAGTCGGCTGTAAAAGACCTCTTTGAAGTGCTGAAGAGCAAAGATGTCTCCTTGAGGACTAGGGTGTGCCTGACACAAGCCATGATATTTTCAGTTGCCTCATATATATGTGAGAGCTGGACAATGAATAAGGAAGACCCAAGAAGAATTGATGCCTTGGGGTTGTGGTGCTGGTGAAGAATGCTGAAGGTACCATGGACTGATAAAAGAACTAACAAATCTGTCCTGGAGGAAGTACAGCCAGAATGCCCCTTGGATCAAGAATGGCCAGACTTCGTCTCACCTACTTTGGTCATGTCAGAAGGGACCATTCCCTGGAGAAGGATGTCATGCTTGGTAAGGTGGAGGGTCAATGAAAGAGGGGAAGGCCCTCAATGAGATGGATTGACACAGTGGCTGCGATGATTGGCTCAAGTACAGCAGGGATCGCGGAGCTGACGTGGACTGGGCGGTGTTTTGTTCTGCTGTGCATAGGGTCTCTATGAGTTGAAGACGACTCGAAGGCATCTAACAACAACAACAAAGTTTCTTATACTGCACTTCATAAAGAGTTTATTTTTGGAGTTTGGGAACTAAAGCAAGTGTCTATTGTTAGTTGCCTTCGAGTGGATTCTGACTCATAGCAAATCTACCTGACAGAGTAGAACTACCCCATAGGCTGTCATCTTTACAGAAGCAGATCGTCATGTCTTTCTCCCACAGAGCCACTGAGTGGGTTTGAACCGCCAACCTTTTGGTTAGCTACTGAGCTCTTAACCATTGTGCCACCAGAGCTCTTTTAAAGTGAGTGTCTAACAGTGCTGTATGAACTTTCCTAGTCTGAGAACTAACTTTTGGAATAGAGTATGTAGGTTTCAGATAAACGGGGGTTTTAGAGATTGCTTCTAAGTAAGAATTCATGTTCTTTCATAACATAGTGGATTGGTTTTCAATTAATAACAAATTATCAAAATTAAGCCCTTAAAACAAAACTCATTTATTACTTCACCGTTCTGTACTTTAGAAGTGCGAGCAGGCTTGGCTGAGTTCTGTGCTCAAGGTATTCCACGGCTGAAATCTAGGTGTTAACTTGCCTGGGCTGGACTCTTATCTGGAGGCTCCATGGAGAATCTGGGCTCATGCTCATTCAGATTGATGGCAGAATTGAGTTGCTTGCAGTAGTAGGACTGAGGTCCTGGGTTCCTTACTGGCTGTCCACTGGGGATTGCTCTCAGCTCTTATAGCCCTTCCTCTCATCCTTGTCCATGGCCCCTTAACCCATAGTTAAGGTTGTGTATCAACGTGGCTGGGCCACGTTTTGAGTAGTTTGGCAGCTGGATGTAGTTATTCCTCATGATGCTATTGTAATCACCTCCGTGGTAGAATCTGTTGAGAGACATTAATCAGTGGATATAGAGCTGCCTTTGGGGTGTGGCCTGCTTCCAGTATTTATGAAGAAGCTTTGGAAAAAGTCTCTAGCTTTTTGGCACATCTGGATCCTGTATTTGGCTGAGTCTTCATCTCCATTTCCTGGGCTTGAACTAGTGGCCTGCTGTGTTGCCTGCCAATCCTGGAATTGTTCCTTGACTTGAACCAGTGGCCTGCCGTGTTTCCTGTTGATCTTGGGATGGTGCTAGTTTACCTGCTGATCTTGGGTTCATCAGCCTTAACAGCCAGTAGCTATGTGAGTCAGAAGAAACTAGTAGCTCCAGTGGGCCTGGAACAAGAGGCAGAGCTGAAACCCGAGATAGAGGGGGCCTTCACTCAGCCCCTAGAGCTGGCATTCTGAATTCAGACTTCTAGCCTCCTAAACTGTAAGAGAACAAATTCCTGTTTGTTAAAGTCATCCAACAACAACAACATGATTGGATCAGGTCCACCTGGAAAATATCCTTCTCTTAAGGTCATCTATGATATAACATAATTACGGGAATGATACTGTATTCACTCATGTCAGGGATTAGGATATGAAATCTTGGGGGCCATTTTTAGACTTCTTCCTTTCACACATTATATAAAATACAAAGGTAAAGGAAGTTGTGAACTAGTGTGTGTTACATTTGAGCATATATGTATGCCTTTATGGCACAGTGGTTAAGCACTGGGCTGCTAAGCAAAAGGTTGACTGTTTGAATCCACCCAGTGGCTCTGTGGGAGGAAAACCTGGTGATCTGCTTCTGTAAAGATTACAGCCTAGGAAACCCTATGGGGCAGTTCCACTCTGTCACACTGGATCTCTATGAGTTGGGATTGACTCAATGGCACCTAGCAATAAAAACATATATGTGTTTGCATGTGGGCATGCATTTATGTCCATGAGAAATGTCTTTGTGTGTTACATATATACACTAAACCACCAGAACTCTTTATATATATATATATAT